TCTATCTATCTATCTATCTATCTATCTATCTATCTATCTATCTATCTATCTATCTGTAATTTCCCTCCTCCCTCCACCACCTCTTTAGAAATTAACTTAACGGCCAAGACTTAAGCAATAAAAAAAACATTGCTAACTCATACAACCTTCAAAAAGATCTAAATATGTCCACGTAACAACATTGATAAAAGCATCCTAAATGCTCTTCTAAAACTGTGTTGGCAGAGGCTTAAAACATTTATTGCTGCAATTGTATCACCCACAGGTCTTCTTCGCCTTTGGCACGGCCTTCGAGGTGGTCATCGCCAAACTGATCATGCCCACCCTCGGCTGGCGCTACTTACTGGGAGCTACAGCCATCCCCATACTTCTGTTTCCCTGTCTGGGATATGTAAGGACAGATTGTACTCTAGAAACGTCAATCTTTTTATGTTGTTGAAGCCCAAAGTTGTCATAATAATTATTGAGATTTATTTTAGTAATATTATATGTGGGCCTGTACGTATAATATGGATATAGTGTGCGTATGTATAAGTTACACACACACACACACACACACACACACACACACACACACACACACACACACAGACAAGTATATACAAGTCTCTGTCGCTTAGTATATAGATTACACACACACACACACACACACACACACACACACACACACACACACACACACACAGTTATATAAATATAATATCCATCCATTCATCCATATGTACAAGTAAACGAACTTCTCTCACATCTGCAATAATCTCAACTGTTACCTAAACATAGAAACGAATCAAACAGCAAGTCGATCAACTGACTGATCAATAAACAAACCAATTCATCAATCAGTCAGCCATACAACCATCCATCAAACCAACCAACAACATCAAAAACAAAAAAGCAAACCAATGGCAAAACAAAACTAAACAACAACAAAAAAAAAGAAAAAAAGGGCACACCTAAGGATCGAGTGCCATTGTCCACAAAAACCCAACGAACCAGCCTTCCCCCGCTCTCGAATGACTTAATGCCGATCTGCTGACCAACCAACCAATCAATCAAATGGTGTACATGTACTAATACTTTCATAGCTCTCCAGCTGACCGAAAATTTCACACATCCAATCATACGAATGACTACACTTTAACATTTGTCCCTACCCCCTCCTCCTCCTCCTCCTCTTCCCCATCTCTCCCCTTCCACCCTCTCCCTCCCCTCCCCG